AAGCAAAGACAATACAATATTAAGGATATAAAATGTTTGATGGCTGGAAGTGAATGGTTCATTGCCTGTAGCCGTTATATAAAATTTTTGACCTTCTCATCCTAAATTCAATCATTACTCTCAAACCTTTTCATGTTGTCTTTCCATTACTCTTCTCCCTTTTCATATCGACTTTGAATTTCTCTTCCCGAGCGCTTTTTCGATCTTCAATCACTATTTTCTTAAATTTTGGATCTAATCTTTGTAAGTCTTATTAAAAGTAGGTTTGTCTTTGTTAATGGTAATCACAACATATAGAGAATTTTGTTAAGACCGGTGGGATAAATATAACTGTATTGAGAACCAATGCAAAGGCAACTTATTTGACACTATTGGGCAACAATTTGAAAAATGTGAAGGTTGCTCCATGTGGTTCAATGATTGAAAGGGTGGTTATATGTTACGTTCTTATGATCACATTCAGGTTTATCTCAAATCATATCACATTAATCAGGTTTATTTCAAATCATTCTTTTGAATTCATGTGGTTTGGTTTTACTCATTGAATGGAGTGTAAGTGATTGAAAATTTTGCTGCATGGGAAAGAGCATGCCTAAATAATTGATGGATTCACTGCAACTAATTTGTTTTTAAGCAACGAGTTTTGACCGCGAACAATAAAATTTGTTGTAAAAAAATGATTTTCGACGACAATTTCAAATGTTTCTTGTGGTAAATTTTTTTATGATATTTTTGGCGACCATTTTTTGTAGTCGTTGTTAATAGTTTTCGCAAAAAACGTTCCCTCAAAAAAAAATTGGCGCCAATGTTGGCAATAAATGTTAATTTTATGGGCGGCAAAAAAATTGTTGCCAAAAGAATTTTTAGGTCACAAAATTTTTGACAAATTTATTAAAAATAAGAAAAAAAATATTTAGCGACAATACATATTTGTCACAGAAAAAAAATTAAAAAATTTTAAAATTATTTTTTTTCGGCAACAAATGATATTTTGTCGCAGAATATTATAAATGCAATTTCTGCACTCTTATGGATTAAAACGACATCGTTTAGAGGTTAATTAATTATAATTTTTTGTTTCAAAACAACGTTGTTTTGAAACCCTGGCTTAAGCCTTTGTCTCCTTCGACAACTCCATCGTTTATGCCCCCGCTTGTCGCCTCTCTTGCTCAACCGACACTGTGAGTATCTCTCTCTCTGCACAAATCTTCATTTCATTCGTTTGTTCAACATAAAAATTAACTTTTTCTTTGGGTTTTGTTCGTTTTAAAAATCACATATGTGCAGAAGATATATATATTGGCGGAGATGATTTACCCGTACAAACCTAATATGTTTCTTGTTTATAATCTATTTTGAAAGAAGTGTGAATTAATTTTTTTGTATTTTGTTGTTTCTCAACTTTCAATCATTGCGAAGTTCTATTCATTCAATTAGCCTTTCATGACTATAAAGAAAATTTAATTAGTTATGCAAGGATCGTGCGAACACTAAATTGAGGTTGAGTTAAGTGGAAACAAAATCAATTGTATGCATCCCCTGGCTCTGCGCGAACACTAAACGAATTGTTCTGAATGATTTTTATGACTCCCCTCTTTGAACTCATGAATCTAAGGGCATTGAACCATCTAAATGCTATGGCTTTTGTGCCTACACCCACGCCAACGGACTGCATCACCAGAATAATTACTTTCAAAATCTATTAAAATATTTTTACTTGTGGATCTAATTGAAATCAAAGTTTGTTTTGTATCATTCGGATGAATATTTGTTGAGTTGAATTTGTTCAGTTCTTATGTCAATCTTTATGTTGCATCTGTTCAGTTGTTCATGTATTTTACTCTAACGTGCTCATAATATAGTGCAACCAAATAGTTTATTGCCCATTATGAAATTGTGATTGTGGTTCCAATACTGTGGATGCCTTTTAAGATGTCAAACCTTGAATCAGCTGAATGCAAGAGAAGTGGCTTACTTAGTACATCTTGTGCAGTTTTATACATCATCATATATCTGCATTTTGACCATGCATCAAACTTGCCAACAGGCTGGTTCCTCAACCCAAAGCCATTTGTCTATCAAACCTTAACTGAGAATTGAAATCACTGTTCATGATTTTGTATGTGAACAACTAAGCATAAATTCATAAATCTCTGCATTGATGCTCTGAAACTATTGGGAGAAAGCAACTTTAGATAATCTGTTTAGTTCCCAAGTCACACAACAAATGACAAAGGTGAGGTTAGCAGTGCAGCGTGGTGGGGGTATTAGAGAGCCGAGCAATTCAACTTTATCTTGGTATGCTATTTTATCTATGGACTTATGTTTTTTGTTGGTTATTATCATATACTTAGTCAAATATTAATTTATTAACCTATAAACTCAAAATTTATATATTTTTTCTTTTACTTCTTATCTATAATGCATTAATTAGTTTTTTGTGTTTGTCACATATTGAAGATGGATTGTAAAAGCTCTTTTTGGATACCCAGACATCTTTTTTTTCAAATATTTGAGATATTTTGTTGTTAAAATTTTAGATGTTGGGATATTGGATGTTGAAAATTTTAGAAATTGTTAGGAGTTTTGGATATTGTTTGATGCCATTGAAAATTGTTGGATGTTATTTTATATTTTGAGAAATATATTAATGTTTTAGTAATTGTGATGTGTTCTTATGAATTATCTATTGTCATGGGTGCATGATTGAAATTGGTCGGAATATTTTTGAGTTGTTATAAGTGTTTTTAAATTGTTATTGGGCCAAATGGGATTTAATCATGTTCACTTTTTGGGTGACGAAAACAAGTTGTTGCTAAAATATTGTTCATCATTTTTGGCAACGAAATAGAGACGGTTGTTAAAGTTTTCACATTTTACGATGAATATAATCGTTGCTAAAGGTTTTATGTGGTTAAAATAATTTATTTTTTTGCGACGAACAAAACATTGGCAACGAAATAAGAACATGTTTGACGACAAAATTATGATCGCCTATTGTGTATTTTTGGCAATGAAATTTTTGTTGATGCTGAAAACTTTGTCAGACAAGCCTAAAGCGACAAAATGAGTTTGTCGTCGAAAATTTTTGGTGACGAAATTTATACATTTTGCGACGAGTCAATTCGTCGCAAAAAAATAAATTTGTTGTAGTGAGTATGTTGACCAAGATACCCTCAAATTAAACAAAATCATGAGATAAGTGTTTTGACTTGTGAAATGAAGATTGATGTTAAATTGTTGTAGATTTTTATTAATTTTGTTTGTTGATTGCATGTTTCTTCTTGAAAACAGAAGGACATTCCAACTTGAAATCTGTTAAAAACCTGTTTTTAGTTTTATTTAATGAATGTCATTTTGTTTAAAAATTTAAATCAAGCATGGTTTACCAATTTATCAACAATGAAATACTTGTGCGAATTGTTTCAAATGTAGTGGGTCTTCTAATGTCAAAAGTAAGGAGTTGTCTTAGGACCAATTAGGAGTTTCAATACTTCGGTCATGCTTGTCTTATGCTTTAGATTTTTTAATTGGAATAGGTGATGTGTTTGAATTTCAAATATTTATGCAATTATTTGTAGCTTAGTAACATTGTACATCATTTATGTTTGTTCAAATTTTTTTGCGAACATTGTTGAGGTTTACCAAAGAATGTGCTTTGGGCCACAACAGAGTATTTTATTATTGGTGTTTATATGGTATCATTAAATAACTAGGGATAATACCACACACACCATAAATAATTGATAAATATTTTTTCTCCCTTTATGTGAATCACTCCCAGGTATATGATCAATTGTTCAATATCTAGAGTAACATGACTATTTATTATCTTCAATTAAGAATTAACATTCTTTTTACCAATATGCTAGATAAATTTTTAAATAAAAAAAAATACGTATGATTTTTATTTCAATTTATGGTTTAAGTGTTGCAAACAAAGAAGTAATTGGACATAGCAATAGAGTGATACTACTGCTATCTAATTAATTTATTTGTTTATATTTTGACAAAAAAAAACTCTTTTATTTGAATTTTATTTTGTGCATTAAGATAAACAATGGACTAATGTTTTGTTTCATTAGTTTATGATATATTCATTTGAATAAAACATTATTTAATTGATTCAAACTTGTGAAGGACATAGTTTTTGAAACTATTATGTTGTAATCTCGATTTTTGAACTAACATTACCAATATAACTATAAGTTAAGATTATTCACGTGCAACGTACTTGTGCAAAAAATTAGTTGAAATAAAATCAAAAATAAAAATTTAGTTTTTTTCTTAAAAAATTGTAATTATTATACAATTATACTATTTATTAAAATAAAACTAAAAAAATAAACAAGAGATCTAAGTCATTTATAATAAAACATGAATTTTATAACTAAAATTTATATTTTATTATATCATTTATTGAAATAAAATAAAACTATATTTTATTCTTAAAAAATCATAATTAATATATAATTATACTATCTATTGGAATAAAACTAAAAAACAAACAATGGGTCAAACTGTAATGGACACAATATCTTCTATCTTTAATTGGAGTCATTTGGTAATTTAATTTTCTCATTTAGACAACCAAATTAAATTCTAATAGATGATATAATTGTATACTAAATATGATTTTTTTAAATAAATTTTATTTTTATTTTTGATTTTATTCAATAAATGTCATAATAGAATATGAATTTTGGTTATAAATTTAAAATATTTGATAATTTAATCTTTAATTGGAGTCTTTTTTATCTAAATATAATATTTTAAATTTAAGAGATCTAAGGATTATACGCTTACAAACTTTAAAGGTAGGGTGTAAGTATTAGGTACGTACAAACTTTAAAAAGTTTATGCGTAATATTTTAAATATTAATTAACCTAAATAATTAAATAACAAAATATTAGGGGTCTACGTGTAATTCTCCCAATAATTAAATGACAAAATTTATTTAGCTTGTATTCCCTTTCTGTTCAAAGCTCGTTCATGGCGGATCGCTGAACGGCGACTGATCACTCTGTATACTTATACACCCTCCCTCCCCATATCACCCTGAAAACCCTAGACTCAACACGATGGCCAGAAGATCCATTCCAATCCTCAAACACTTCCTCAAATCCGCCGACACAACCTCATCTCTCTTCGTTCCATCCCGATGCGTCACCTACATGCCCCGCCCTGGTGACGGCGCTCCAAGACCGGTAACCCTAATTCCTGGCGATGGAATTGGGCCGTCAGTGACCAACGCCGTCGAACAAGTCATGGAGGTCATGCACGCGCCGGTGTACTTCGAGAAATACGAATCGCTCCACGGCGACATGAAGAGAGTCCCCCAAGAAGTGATCGATTCGATAAAGAAGAACAAGATTTGTTTGAAAGGAGGGTTGATCACTCCGGTTGGCGGTGGTGTGAGCTCGTTGAATGTGCAGCTGAGGAAGGAGCTTGATCTGTATGCGTCGCTAGTGCATTGCGCCAATTTGCCGGGTCTCCCGACAAGGCATGATAATGTGGATATTGTGGTTATTAGGGAGAATACGGAGGGGGAGTACGCGGGACTTGAGCATGAGGTTGTTCCTGGTGTCGTTGAGAGTCTTAAGGTATTCTATTTGAATTGTCCATTTTGTGTTAGAATATTTTAACTAACAGAGTGTTAGTTATGTTGGAACTCAATCCCACGTCAAGTTAACATCCAAAGATACTTGAATACATATATATATATATTAGTGTTATCTACCCTTGTCTTTGAATCAAATAGAGGTCTTGGGACTCTCGTGGGCTGGGGTGAGACTAGCGGACTGGGGTGAGACTAGCGGAGGAGATATGAATTTCTAAAATCTATTGCTAGTCTTCCGATAGTCATATTTTCTAAGTTATTATCCAATTAAATATTGAAGTAATTACAACATATTAAACACATATATTATATATACGTATTTCCAGCTGAGTGAAGCAAAAGGCTGGGCTGTTGTTTTCCAGGTACGACACGTTACACGCTGTGAATTTTTTGTAAAGGGCCGCGAATCGTCTTAAAGGAGCTTCCGCGCTTCACCCTGTCAATTACTTTATTTGCATCCAATTTTCAACATTTTGTTCCTTCCCAAATGATATAAGGTGGTTTTGGATATGACATAGGTCGAATTTTGGAATAAAGTGCGCTTCTATCGTGATTTTGCAAACTTTTTACCTCAATTTCGTATTTTCTGAATCACAGTGGTTCAAATCTATAGTCTTTAATGTTTTTGTTGAAAGGCTTAGATAGAAAAGCTTAGGTTTTGAATCACCAGAAACAATAGTAGTTTGAAAAATAAATTAGAAAGTGCGGCATTGAGAAAATAAAGTAGAAAAGTTGTTAAAAAAAAACTATTGAATTTTGATTCTTTTGGTAGGTGATAACGAAGTTCTGTTCAGAGAGGATTGCAAAATATGCATTTGAGTATGCTTACCTGAACAACAGGAAGAAAGTGACTGCTGTGCACAAAGCAAACATAATGAAGCTAGCAGATGGTCTGTTTTTGGAATCTTGCAGAGAGGTTGCAACTAAATATCCTGGAATTAAGTACGATGAAATCATTGTGGACAACTGCTGCATGCAACTTGTTTCAAAACCCGAGCAATTTGATGTCATGGTATGTGGGTTTGTTGGCAAATAGCTGCCCGGCTTGTATTTGTCTTTTTTCAATTGTTACAATTCTTCTGTTGCTGACTTTTGTCAAAGTGATGCATTTTGTTTGTCAGTGAGGTGCTAAATTGTTATGTAGTCCTGTTTTTGTCTGGAGCTCAAGTGTCATTTCTCTTCAGTAGTTCATTCTATTGGTTTTGGAGTCGAATAAGTGCTAGTATAATGATGATGGGTGACGCACATTTTGGACGTCTAGGATTACCATACACAAGGTGGCACAATACAACCATCTGATGCTTGAGACAGTTTAGTCCAAAGTACTTGGGTGCCCACTTAGGTCGTGGAGCAAGTAGAAGATTGGAATTATTGCCTTTCAACAGCCTAGGCGAGGCGAGTTTAATGAGGCATCGCCTTGCCTAAAAGTTTATAGATAAATACAGATTTTTGATATCATCCTCAAATTGGCTGGACACACTTTGCAGTTTCCCTTGTTTGTAGTGTATGATAAAGGCAGCAATGCATTGGCACTGTTGATTTTTTTTTATGGAGTCTAGTTTGTATATGTGATCCGGATGATAACCCGATCCGAAGTAATATTGTGTGGTTTTTAATGAAAAATTTTCTGAGGCGTAGTCCATGGAGCGAAGGCTTGGCCCGATAGGCCTAAGCCGTAGCGCTCATGGACAAGCCTCGTGGGGCCCCCGAGGAAAAATTTTTGGGCCCGTTATACAGCCCAGTGCGTAGGACATATAAACCCTGTTATTTTGGTGATTAGGGTTAATCGTGGATTGTACAGCCGCTCTCTGTATTCAACTCTCTCAATAGTGAAATCCCTGCAGCTTCGCGGACGTAGGCAAATTGCCGAACCACGTAAAATCTGTGTCTTATTCTTTCTTGTTTCTTATTGCTTTATATTCTTGATTTGTTTTTCGATTGTGTGTGTTTGTTAGTGGATTTAAATCGTGTTAAATTCCAACAGGTACTGTGTCCACATAATTTCAGCGGAAATCCTCTGCAACTCTACTACTGGCTTCCACTTTGACTTCTTTATTCTCACTAAAAAGAAAAGATGATTTTTATTTGATCGAAATTGGTTTTCGGTTTACAGGTGACACCTAATCTTTATGGAAATCTAGTTGCTAATACTGCAGCGGGGATAGCTGGTGGCACGGGAGTCATGCCTGGAGGTACGAGAGCCAATAACTCAATTATAAACTTTCTTCTATTTTTTTTTCTGGTGATTTATGATAATTAATCGCTTTTGTATGTCCTGGTGTTCTTCTGTAATGAAAAATGCACCACTGTTGAACCTCAATTTATTTTTTGGGTAAGTGAACTTAATTCTTAGGGGCATTCTAATGGACAGAATTCCTGTTCAGTGGAATTGATCGGTAAAGTTCAGCTTATCAGAAGTAGTTAACCTCACATGTTCTGATCTTTGGATTCAAGGTTCCGGACTAGTATCTAGCACCCTTGACCCTATAAAACAGTTATTAATGTGATGCGATAATGGCTGGTATACGATCCTTAGGAATGAAGCCTTGGTGTTCTCAATTTGCTCATGATTGTGGTGTCAGACACTACAACAAGGTACCAACTGGAGACTTCTAAGCAAGATTTGACATATTTGATTACTTTAGACATCTCACATGCGGGCCCACCCTTTTCATATATTTTAAAGAATTTGAAAGGGTGGAGTTAATCTAATGGTTCATAGTCGTTTCATTGCGTACAAGCTATCACGTGCCTCGATCTATATGACAAGACCAATTTTTGGTGGGTACCCTTTTTTTTTTGCTTCGAAGTCATGCCTACGAGAATAGATGGTATGTCTGATCTTTTTTATATGCTCCACATCAAAGCAGAACATTAAGAGCGTCTGCACAAGAAATTAGAAATAACCAATCCATGAGCGATTCTTCTCCTTTTTTTGGAGGAAATGGTGCAAAGCCTTTATTCATGGAGTTATATAAATGGGACTCGGTTAACTATTGGTACTATTGAGAAGATTATACGAACCACTGAAAGTTGACCAATATCTACTGGATCAGGTCTGATCTAGCAAACTTGCTTATCCAAATGAAAGTGGCTGATATATATGTCTTAAATGATCTGTGTCGATTCATATGCAGAGAAGTGGTAGGAGATCATAATCATGTAACAAAGTGAAGTTGAACGTAAAATGTAATTCTTGTTCTTATGAAACCACGCATATTCTTATTTTCTCGGTCTTTTCCTTTTTCTTTTCCTCCTCCCTTATTTTTGAGGGCTGTGAAGATGGGCTTATTCTGAGAATGTAGATCATGTATGTGGGAAGGATTCTAGAATATTTGGTCAACCATTCATTACAATCTGACATTTCTTATAAGGTTGTTTTGATTTAGAATTATTGAGACACAATCATACATGTTCATTTTCAATTCAAACATATACAAATTTTAAATCCATAGTTCTGTGATGCGACGTCTGAAAAGTTCTGCTCCATATTTTCAGTATAGCTTACAGTTACTATTGATATTTCACCAACCAAACACACTTATCTGTGCAGGAAATGTGGGGGCCGATTATGCTGTTTTTGAGCAAGGTGCTTCAGCAGGGAATGTGGGAAACATGAAACTAGTGGAGCAGAAGAAAGCAAACCCAGTGGCCCTTCTTTTCTCATCAGCCATGATGCTGAGACATCTCCAATTTCCATCATTTGCTGATCAATTAGAAACTGCTGTGAAACGCGTTATAGCAGAAGGCAAATACCGGACAAAAGACCTTGGAGGAGCAAGCACCACCCAAGAGGTTGTTGATGCAGTCATAGCAGCTCTAGATTGATTCATAAGACACTTCTATATTCATTATCCTTCCAAAGAAATTGTTTATCAGCCCGGAATACCTTCCATTTTTCCTCTGATGAAATTATCTTTGACATGCCTCGTTAGAGTTTCTACGCGCCTCAATTTATTTGGATGTTTTATTTAAATAAACTCAATCTGCCAGAAAAAAAAAAATAATGCTACGCTTGTTGAAATGGAAGCAGGGAAGTGGCCAGTTTTTGTGCTTTATGCTTGCTGTGGTTCTGATGCTCATTTTTTCCTACATTATTAGATGATGTCCCAGAGGAGAAAGCAGTTGGTGGAGAGAGTTGGCTCCTATAAAGGTTTTAGAAAACCTTTTCGAGACAAAAATGCACTCCTACTTTCTTTGCATAATAGAGTCAATTTGTTGAACATATATTTCTGTCCTCTCATTAGTGCAAGCACTCTTAGTTAAAAATTAGGGCGAATTGCACTCTATATCCTATTGACATCAACGGAAAAGGAAAAATTAACAGAAACTAATAGAATAGTAGAAGGGTCAAATTGTAATATTTTTTATACATTGAGAGTATAATGTAAAAAATTTAATTTTTAAGAGTGTAAAATGAAAAAAAAAAAAATCCTAAAAATTATAATTCAACCCAGTGAAGTTATAACAAGATGGAATATTTTTGATATTTATTTTAATTATTTTGTCGTAATTTGATCAAAAAAATTGTAATTAAAAATGATAAACTTGAATATTATTCCCACTTAACCTCTATATTCCATTTGGAGAAGATAAAATCCTTTGAAAATCAATAAATTGACCTTTGAGACTACCACGTTGATTGCAGTATTGTTTAGGTATCTCATTCCCGACATTTACGATTTCATAAGATTTTTTTTAATTTTTTTTTTCTGGTGGCCGATTTCATTAGCTTTGACAGCCTACATATACACACATCTATAAAACATGGAAAATAAATTATAATGAAGAAGATCATGTGAAATAATTGCTCGCCAATGATAGGGGCTATTGTTTTAGGATTGTGCTCACATTGAATTTCACAGTTGTAATTAATTATATTTTTAAATTAAATTTAAATAGTATTTTCCTTGTTTTAATGTATGAAACCCTCGCTATCAAATCTGTCAATAGATCGGATTCTGATTTGATCCAAATAGATGAACATGGATAAATATTTTTTATCTATAATTTAAATTTAAATCCGAATACAATCTATATAATAAAGTATAGTTGAGTTTAAATCTCAAAAGTTATCTTGACCTTTTTGCGGCTAAGATCAATTCTGAGTAAAAGATTAGTTATGTCTAAAGATTTATCTTATCTCTAATTTTTTGTGATTCAGATCAACTCAAAAATATTGATTCGATAGATTAGATTAATAGACGAATTTCATTTTCCCGATTAAAACACCTTCTATTTTTAACTATCCCAAATTAATTCTCTTCAATTTTCACATTCCATTCACGACTCCCTAATTTTCATATTCACCTCTTAATTCAAAGGCAAGTTTCTCACCAAATCATACACATATTTTTCCCAAAATTTACCTACCTTAATTCATTCACTATTTATATGGTAACTAATTTATTTTATTTAGTATTTGCATATTTATCTTTTGGATTATATAGTGACGATTTTTAAATGCAATTACTAATTTATTTTATATGGTAACTAATTTATTTTAGCATTTTATGAAACTATTTTGTTTCATCTATGATTTCATCGTGTGAATGGATTTTTTTTTTTATGTTACGTAACTTTAATTTTTGGATTAATGCGAGCAATATAAAATTTTAATTTTTTAAAGCAAAGAGAACAATGCATAATAGCTTAAGTTTGAGGACTATTGAGTGTTTAGATAATGAGTAAATAAGTACCACTTATTATAATTTTCTAAGTCAAGTAAAATATTTTTTAATTCAAAAAATAAAAATAAGAAATAAAAAAAATTTCGGTACTCCATTTAATTCTCCATGAAAACGAAGTTTAACGAATTCTTCTTGAGAGTGGGAGAGCATTTTGAAAAGGTTTATATTATGAAAGACCATAGTGTGCGTCATTTTTTTTTAAATAAAAATTTTTATTCTTTACTATTTTATTTTGACTTCAAAATTTGTGTATGCAGATTGATATTGTCTAAGAGTCGTATTTTTGAAGTTTATTTTATCAATATTTTGTTTGAATAGTGAGTTTATATTAATTTGTGCATTGTGATATAGGTTAGTTTCAAGTATAATTTTTTTTAAATAGTGTCTTCAATGACAAATGATAACTTGTACCTTATATTTGACGATTTCCAATGCAAGGTGGACTCGAGCACAAAGCAAATAACGCGGCTGCTTAGGGCCTCATTTGAGCAGTGGGCCATAATTTTCAAGGTCCACTAAAATTCTTTGTCCGCATATATTTTTTATTTTTTTTGTGGTAAGTCTACGTTGCCCAAAGAAGTATGACATTAAAATAAACAATATTTAATGGTTAAATTGATTGCAAAAATTGATTTTTAAGGGTTTACGGAGCACAAATATTTCGTTGAGGTGGATATACTTGTATTGAATACCGTATTAAATACGATACTCGTCACATAATCGAGAATACATATCGGACACAACTCTTAGGTATCCGATAATAATTAAATATTAATATACTTCACGAATACTTTTGCATTTAAACAACATATATAATTTTTGAATTGAATTTTTAACATTAACAAAAATTCATACTACTTCAAAGACACATGAGTATTTTTTAAATATTACCTATAATTACATATCAAAAAAATATAAAATAAATCTACAACGTTATAATCTGAGCAAAAATTACTTCTAAATAAACCTGACTCGATAAATATTAGCTTTAATTTTTTTAATTAATCACTTTATTTTGTGAATATACCATAGTGATACGATATATATTTTCTTGAAACTAAAAAGAATTATTAATTTTTCTTATTGTATTAAAGAATTACTAAAATATATAAGTATTAAGTTGGTTTAAAATAATAAAAATATTAAATATATTTTATTATAGGTGTATCTTGACTGTACCCGTATCCTATTTCTTTAAATTTTATTGTATCACCGTATTTATATCATATCATATCTGTATTCTGTATCCGTATCTATACTTCATAGGTCCATTTACTCTATTTAAAAGTCAAACTATATTTTTTAAAAGTTATTCATGATCACATTCTAATATCCATATCCATCATGACATTTTGATCAATCTCATACATAGCCTCAACTTTTCTCACTTGATCTTCAAAATTTATAATTTTGGTCATGATTCCGAAAAATCTCTTTTTTGGACACTGGACTAATTTTTTCCTTTTTTTTTGTTTTTTTAAATTGAGTGTTCTCCTTTTACTCACCTAATAGGCATTATTTTTGTATATTTGTCTACATATATATTACACCAATCAGTAATTTATACATTTTTTGCACACTAATTCACCCCTATAAATAACTCAATATTCATCGATTATCATTTTTCTACATTTTATAGCTATATTTATGGGCTCTGATTAATTTAGTTTTTTCTCCATTTGTCTCATAGAAAAATGTCATTTCTCTATTTTTCAATCTCAAAAAGACAAAAAATGAACGACATCTACTTGCTATTTTATCTTTCTCATTTCTCTCATTCATTACCACAGAGTTGTTTTCTAATAAAATTATAATTATATAACTTATATACAAATAATAATTCTAAAAAAACCTCATTTAGAACTTTCGCTTAGCGCCCAAAGTTTGATCCAGCCGGCCTTGTTTGGATATATCTATATCTGATTTAATTTATGATCCGATTTAAATTATTTATATATTTTTATATAAATATTAAAAAAAATTAGTTGAAATATTAGTATGATTTGTTAAAATTTAATTATTCAGATTGGATTATTAACAAATTTAAAAATGAATTATGAAAATAAAATTTATCAAATTATTTAATTAAATTTGGATCAATTTTTTTCGATTTGTATCAATCTACATCCGATTAAAACATGATCTATTGACAGGCTACCCGCTGTTAATTCATTTAATATTACAATGAGACCCATCATTAAATACATTGTACTATTATTTTATTGATGACAATTCATTATGTCTATAAATTATGTCCCAATAAAATTAGTGTTAGCCGAAATTCATTAAATATATGTATTTCAATGTCTCAACGTAATCTTCAAAAAAAAAATGTTTCCATGTCGTCTTGCATATCTAACTGATGTCATTGAAAACTAAGTACTAAGATCACTTGCTTCACACAAACCTCTCTCTCTCTCTCGCCACCATGAACCACTTCTTCAAGAACCCTTTGATTAGGGGGTTCATTTGTGGTGTGAACAGGATTCACCCAAGGTGCACACAAATCTCTCGTCAGCACACTCAATTTCATGGTAATCTTGAACCGGAGTCATGGAAGTCAATGGAGGGTCTGCTTCAATGCTCTGCAAATTATGTTCCTTTGTCTCCTATAAGCTTCTTGGAGAGATCAGCTAAGGTGTACAGGGATAGAACATCAGTTGTGTATGGCTCTGTGAAGTACACTTGGGGGGAGACTCATACAAGGTGTGTTAAGCTCGCTTCTGCTCTGACCCAGTTGGGGATTTCACGCGGCGATGTTGTAAGTTTGCTTTATTAATCCATTTTCTGCCTCCCGTGAACTATAGTTTTGTGAGATCGTAATCTGTGTGTATGTAATTGCTTTCTTTTCTACTTAATCTTGACGAGTTATAAATAACAGGGAAGATTAAGCTACAATACTAGTAATCGAACTTTGTGTTCAGTTTCTCTTTGCTCTCTCTAGGCTTTCAATTGTCATATATTAATCCTTGAGTTTCCAATTTGTTTTTAATTGGCACAATTAACTTAATAGACGTACCAGTGCACGAGGCTCTCGAGGTCTGAGAATGGTTAGATATATGCAGCTATACTTCTATAAGCAGAGAGGCTCAATTGGCCCAATTAACTTCTGTCCAAATAATTGATGGAAGTGTCACATGTAGCAGCTTGCCTATATCTGACAGCAACTCGGTTCTAATTTGTTTGTCAAACAAATGAAAGCTCACAATGCGCTCTGTTATTTTTATTAAGTATTTCTGAATTTGGTTTTATTTTAATGCTTCAGTGCATAATGTAATTGAAGGAAAAATAGAGTTTAGGGTATCCATGGATGCATTCCAATCAACATCATCAGCATAGCACAATAGTTGCTTGTCATGGTTAGATAAGATTGGGTGCAGTGGTAAGGGTGATCCGTTTTACATTATTATCAGGATATTGATTCCCCCTTCAATCTATGACTAGCTACTCTGGTTTTTGACAGTCAGGTTGGGGCCTTGTTAGTGGTAGGGAGCAGGATAACGTGGAGTGGCGATTAGAATTACTTAATATGGTATTTTAGACGACTTTTTGTACATCTGCAAGCCCTTTTTTTTTGCCCTTTTGGCTTGGCTGTGTCTTCAATAATAATACATTTCTCTCGTTTGATGTGTTTTTGAGTTTCTTTGAGGATAGTCTCATCAGAATGAAAAGTTCAACTGTTGTTGAGAGTATGACTACAGCTGCTAATTTATATAATTGAAACAGGTAATTACAATATGGGTGCCACCAGAGATTTGGTGCCTTGAGGAGGGCTTAGGTGTGCCCTTGAGATAAAAGCATTTTAATTTTGTTAATCGTGATAAGTGAGGGGAAAAACAAGCCTTACAAATGAAATTAAAAGAGAAATAAATCCATTGCAGATTTATGTATTTGATTTGTTTAAAAACACGATCGTCTTACCTTTTTACTAAATTTAATGATGGCAAGGTTTTGCAATACACACTGGTCGAATTAACTACTACGTATTCTTTTTTTGACTACGAAAGTTCTTGATGAAAGTAGAAAGTTGTTTGAGGTTCTGCCTCCTCTTCTGTCTTGGGTTAGCCCTGCTCATTATTGTGAAACACCATCAGGAATTTCCTGTACACTTGTCCTTTGTATGTCATAACTTGTTTCCTCCTGTTTTGAACTCTATATTGTTTAAACAGGTTGCGACGCTGGCCCCTAATATCCCAGCAATGCAAGAGCTTCATTTTGCGGTTCCAATGGCTGGAGCAGTTCTATGTACGCTCAACACACGCCTTGATTCAGCCATGATATCAGTCCTACTGAAACATTCAGAAGCGAAGGCCATATTTGTGGACTACCAATTACTTGAAATTGCTCAAGGAGCACTTGATCTTCTTGCAAGTACGGAAACAAAACTGCCTATCTTAGTTTCAATCCTTGAATTTGACGATGGTTCATCTCCAACCATTGGCACTACTAATACATATAAATATGAGAGACTTCTGTCAAGTGGACATAATGATTTTGTTATAAGACGGCCAAACACTGAATGGGATCCTATTAGCATAAATTATACTTCTGGCACAACATCGCAGCCCAAAGGAGTTGTTTATAACCATAGAGGTGCATATCTCAATTCAATTGCAACATTTCTCCTTCATGGGATGGCCGCAATGCCTGTTTACCTTTGGACAGTGCCAATGTTTCACTGTAACGGGTGGTGCATTATTTGGGGGCTGGCAGCGTTGGGTGGCACTAACATATGTCTTAGACGTGTCTTTCCGAAGGACATATTTGACGGTATTGCTCTCCACAAGGTCACACACATGGGCGGGGCACCAACTGTCTTGAACATGATTGCGAATTCGCCACTAAGCGACCAAAGGCCACTTTCTCACAAGGTTGAAATCATGACAGGTGGTGCACCACCTCCTCCACAGATCCTTTACAAGATGGAGGAGCTAGGTTTTAGAGTATCCCATTTGTATGGACTTACGGAGACTTATGGTCCTGGAACACATTGCTCATGGAAGCCTGAGTGGGATTCTTTGCCTCCAGATGAACGATTAAAGCTCAAAACACGACAAGGGGTGCACCACCTAGGTTTGGAAGAAGTTGACGTAAGAGATTCTGCCACCATGGAAAGTGTGCCAGCCGATGGTAAGACGATGGGTGAAGTTATGTTCAGAGGAAATACTGTAATGAGTGGATATTATAAAGATTTGAAATCAACAGAAGAAGCTTTCAGGGATGGATGGTTTCGAAGTGGTGATCTTGCCGTAAAACATCCTGATGGCTATATTGAAGTAAAGGATCGCTTGAAAGACGTTATAATCTCTGGGGGTGAGAATATAAGCACTGTGGAGGTAGAAACAGTGGTGTATAGTCATCCAGCAGTTCTTGAGGCTGCGGTAGTTGCACGACCGGATAATCACTGGGGGCAGACGCCTTGTGCATTTGTAAAGTTGAAGGAGGGATTTAATGTTGATGCTGAAGAAATAATCAAGTTTTGTCGTGATCATTTGCCTCATTATATGGCACCTCGGACAGTCATTTTCGATGATCTGCCAAGAACTTCAACTGGCAAGGTTCAGAAATTTATCCTGAGGGAGAAAGCAAAGGCCTTGGGCAGCCTTTCTTGAGCAGAGAATTAGGGCCCCCAGCATGTTTCCTAGAAAGGTAAGAGGCTGAAATCTCATATTTCACGCTATATCCTTCAAGGTTCCTTTGGTTTTGCTACAATGCTGATACAATGGATGGCAACCGCTCGGAATTTTTCACGATGTCTAGGCAAATTGGCATCTAAAACAAGAGATCAAGACTACAAAAATTCCATTTTTACTTCGGCTTTTGTTCAAGTCAAGAAGCAAGATTGATGAAATGTTTTCAACCTCAACTATTTTTTCTGGTTTTGGTTAGTACTTACAACTTACTCGTCTCTTTTAGTTTGCAGACTAACCATATTTTATTGTCATTATATTTATTGTTATTGTTCTTCTATTACCATGTGTTCTCGAAATATAATTGCTGAAATAGAAAATGGCTAGAGAAGTTGGTTGCGAAGCATTTTGTTATGGAATCATTCCCGCAATTTTTTTTTCTTGATTGAAGATGAACCAAGAAAATAAGTTGATGGTCTGTGCTTGTCACCATAATTTCAGATGTGTTGAAATTGTCTTTCTTTTTACTAAACAAATGTAATTCACCAAAAAACTCGAGAGAAAAAAAAAAAGAAGTTACCCAAGCAGTGAATATTGCTGGCATATGAGAATAACGAGAGTTATTGGCCCCTTGTACCTCCGCAGACAGCATAGAATACAAATTCTCTAATAAACTCTTCCCTTCATATCCGAATTAAGCTAAGTTATACCATATTATTCGCTAGTTTCACGCTTCTATTGGATTTTCAGTCTCATTCATCCTGTACAGTGTTGTGTAATCACTCAAAACACAATATTGATACCCAATGTAAAGCAGTCATTAGATATTATTCTGTTTGCCATGTTCCCTTAATGATGGAATTTAGATTTCTGTTGAAGGTTCCATCCATCATCTACAATTCAGCTACTGATAAAGTAAAAACAGAAAGAAAAGCTCTCTGTTACAGCAGAAACTATTACACTGATCATCACCCCACCGAGGTGGATGAAGGCACTTCTTGGTATGCGACGGCAACAGCAGGATATCGAGTCAGATTGAGGCGGAGAATATATGAATTTGCAACGGAACCACAATACAAATGGTCCTTGATCTTGATCCCACTGGAAATCATTGACAACGCAGGATCACAATAGTGAGCAATCGGATTTCCTTGCAAATCAACAGTGAAAGCCCCAGCATTTTTCTCCACATGTGGTTGTCCTATGTACCTGAATATGATGGCCATAACCTTCCGGATGAAAGGATATTTCTGTCCCAGACTCCAAATATATGTGGGTTCCTGCCAAATTTTCACAAAAGATGGTGATGCAAAGAGGATGTTACTTGACACATTCAATACTACTAGTATTGTAAGATACTTTTGATTGATACATGTCCCATAATGTTGTAGTGGGTGTGTTGGGCAATACTGGACTAGCCAAGCATATAGTTTACCTCATGGCTCATCACTTTCTATCTTCAATTAGAAAATCTAAAGCAGAGTTGTTGGATTTCATAGGTTTTCCTTTGACAATAAGAAGCTCATCAAGCAAAACTTAGCAGAGAATAGAATGTTGCAGATCAATGATTTGTATGAAGTGACTTACTGTGAAGATTGCAATCCAGTAGTGACCTTCTCCATCATATCGAATGTTGTCGGGCAAGCCGGGCAAATTATCTACAAACATATCTACAGATCCTTTTGTTTCACCATTTAAGTAGTATTTCTTGCACCTTCTCCTGCAATTTCAATGCACTACAATAAAGTCTTATTTGATTAAAACTTTCCAACAACAGTAACTACTATCCAGAATTTAGTCGATTTAGAATAGATAGAACATCACGAGGTTGATTCGCAGAAATAACTTCTCCGTATGAGGTAAGACTCTGCATATATGTGACTATCCTACACTCCGGAATGTTAGAATTTTCGTGCATTTAGATACCCTTTTATCAAAATGACAACTTACACTCAGAACACCTAAATCTCTATTGGTTTGAGTTTCAAATTGTCTCTCTCAATGCTTAACTTTTGTTCTATTTTTCATGAGAAATCATGCAAGTGTAGAATTATACAATGTTAGGAGTTGTGTGTGTGTGTGTGTATTTTTTTTTTTTTTACAAATTCTCTATTTTGCTAAGAAGAATGAGACAGGAGTTAACGGTTGGATAATGTAAAACCCAAACCAATAATATAAAATGAAATATAAGAAAAGGGAGAGCATAAGGTATAATGTGGAACGAGAGGCATAAACCAAGGGTATAAGTGTAATTTACTCTTTCAAAATAGAAACATACTTAAACCATAAACTCATTATGTAAAAGAAAAATGTTATTTGAACCTAATTTGGGGACTTAATTTGGGGACCTAATGTACAAATATTGAATTAGTTGTGAGTTTCATCTAACATTAGAACTCACAAATAATCTAATGGTACCATTGAAGTCATGTCATTAGGTTCCTAGATTTGGTCTTCAAATAAAGTCACTCAAGTGGTAACAAGAACAAGAACGAGTTATAAACCGATATATTCTGAATATCCTAGTCTCAGCGTGAATGAACTGTTTTTGATCTGACCGAGTAGAGGACCAATCAAGGTGCGCAAAAGTTAGTTTGAACATCTCTAATTGTTGAAAAAATAAAAAAAAAAGGTTTGTGAGTGGCAGTGACATACATGGGGGTTTCACAGAAGACCACAAAGTTCTGGTCTGGTGAGACTACAACTCCATTAGCAAAGTATAGGTCCCGGACCAGCACTGTGGTCTGTTGAGTTGTTGGATCATATCTCATTAATCTACCGTGGGGCCTACCCCCAAAAAAGTCAAACAGAGCCTCACTAATGCTGTATTTATATGAAGCATCTGTGAAATACATCATGCCATCGTGTGCTATGTCTACGGCATCCGTTAGTCGGAATTTTAATCCGTCAGCCTCATCGGTCAACAGCTCCAGGACACCATCTGCGTCTACTTTGAGTAATCCCTGCAAGAGATGAGAGAGTGTGCTGGTGCATGAAATAATAATTGACACTCAATAGATTACCCAACCAATAGTTGAAGATTATGGTATCAACTATTGACTTGAATAGCAATGACATATTTGATGATGTACAAAATAGTCTCGTAAAAGATCAAGAGTCGAGTGTGTAATAAAGTATAATTAATAGACAATAAATAAAGTAATCAATGAAAATAATGTAAATATTGAGTTATCACACAAATATATAGTAATTCGGTCCGGGTGATCTATTCCACTTTAAAAAATGAAACGGTGACCGAAGGGTCTTTATTGATAAAGTAAGGTGAGTGAAGAGAACAATGATTAGTTTCGAAAGAGGTACAATAGTTAGAAAGAGAAAAAAGTTATGTGTGTATAGAGAGATATAGAGATAGAACTCAATGTATCCTCTCATGTAGAGAATACTTATAATTTATAAGTATTGAACCTTTGTTGAGGTGCTGACGTGAGATTAAAGACACTAATTTTTCGGGAAAATAGTTATAAAAAATAAGTACAATTAAAGTAGACTTGATTTTCGAAAGTGTGTATTCCGATGATCTTTCTCCTACATGCTCTCTTTTTCATGGACTCCTTAGACCTAGGGCTGGGTAGAATTGATTAATTGGACTTGACCTGCCTTTTAACTGATCCAGACTTACTTGGTTTATTAGACTAGGCCTAATTAGATTTGGGCTCGTCAGTATTGATTGTGGTTTTTGACGAAATAATATCAGGTTAATATACACGAAACACTACATAGAATAACAAGTTAAACTCACGAGAGATTCATGCCTCGTTGAGGTGTTGTGGAATGGTTCGGATCGGTTTAGCGACGATGACTCAAATTACTCAAGTTTAACATGGAGATGTATTGAATACCTTAGCCAATTAGCAAAAGACTCGTGATTTACACTTAGGTATTGGATCAAAAGATGCTGATCCACTTAAAGAAAAGTATACCGGAAACTCTTCATATTGATTGTGAATTTTGATGAAATAATATTGGGTTAATACGTGTGAAACACTACATAAATTTTTTGAATTTTTCATCGGATTCGATTTTGAACACATTAAAATCCGATCCGTTAAAAACCTTGAGTACTACTAACCTTATCAGCATCGGCAATAACAACTTCATCATGGTGTCCAAGAACGATTCCCAGAGGTCTCCCACCGGTGTTAACCCAGTTCTCCACCACTGTGTCAGCCGCTGACTCGTTCACCGTCACTCGCTTGACCCACCCATCAACACAACCAGTGTATATCAACCCCGACTTTGGGTCATAAGCAACATCTTCTGGACCCAACAACTGTCCAACCCCAATCTTCTCTGAACCATGGAGCATGCGAGGGTTACGCCTTGGCACAACCATGGGCTTCTGATGAGTCAACTCGTGGGCCGGAAAAGGAGCCGGGTCGAAGGAGTCAAGTTGGTAGACGAGCACTGCCATGGTAACTGGGACTAACAACCATAACAAAATTGTGAATGGCCATGAGTTTGTTCTGGTTCTAGCAATGGTGGAAGAAGGGTTTGTTGAGAGAGATGAAGATGATTTAGAGCTTGAGTCGGCCATTGTTGGCGTTCTTAGTGACTCACTGAGCTTATAACAAAAGAAAATGATTTAATCCAACACTGTCCATTTGGTCATCATATCAGCCCTTTAATGTTAAATTATATATAAAATTCTCATTTTAGTTAAATTACAAAGTTTTCTTGTCCTATATGAATTTATCCTACAATCCACGAAGAACCCTTCGGTAAGATGGATAAAAAAAATAGGAGAATGAAAAGTGATATTGATATATTTTTAAGAGGTAATCGTATAGGAGGTTCTCAAAGTATGAAATTTGTCTTATTTTGTTCATTAGAGTATTGAATGAGTTTTTATATGGTTCTTCAAGTTGATAGTGTCTAAATTACTAATAATTTTTTATCATATATTTTTGATGTGATACTTAAATATAGATAAAAAAATAATTTGTATAACTCTTGACCAAATT